ACATGGATTGAACAGCACACAAAAGTGGCCTATATTAGTTCTCTCCATTTGAGAATGAACAAATAACTTGGTCAAATAATAACATATTTTCTCTAAGAGATAGACAAGCATAACCAGATAATACAATATTGACATCTCTTAGTTTATCATGATCATTTCATATATGTAACCAAAGAGTTCCTGGCAAGATCATAACACGGGCATTGAAAGAAAAAATGAAGCGAATCTTAAAAAAAACCCCCACTTTTTAAGCATTTAGGTGAACCAACTAAGTTATGATTAAACAAATCTGCATTTAGATTACTTGACAAGTTTCTCAACTGACAATGGAGTATATTTAATATCCTTTGTCCATAACTGTATAATTTGGATTTTATTTTATCATCAAGATTTTTATTTTGTATACTTTGCTTGAATTTAGCTACACTTGTTGCAGATTTCGAGCTATCTGGCAAATCGTTCCATAACTTAATTGTAGATGGTAAAAAGCTATTATAAAATGCAACTGTTCTAGTGATTGGTATGTGATAAAAATTATTATTGCGTAAGGCATAATTATGTGAAACAGGTAGGCACTGTTTAACCATGAAATATGGAGATAACGAACAGTATTCAACCTCGAAAGTCCAATGACACGATACAAATTTAGAGCAGAGCAAACACGGACCACAAAATTTAGAGGTGGGATCAGGTGCCATGGAGGAGTGAGCATCCCCTGCCGACCGGTCACACTCACCGTGTGCTCACTGTCATGATCGGGGAAAATCCGTAGACAGTTTAGTGTATGAAAAATGACCCAACAATTAGCATGAAAAACGTCAGTCAGCATTTGACTCAATGATAGTTTGTATGTGCTGACAAGGTCATTGTATCGACCATAAAACTAGCGAAATGATGACTTCAAACGAGACTGTTCATATCCTTGTTTCGTCAACTTGCTTGTCAATAGTTTGCCTCTTTTTCGAAATTGTTCATACGTAGAGCATTCTCTTGTATATCGAATCAACTAAGAGATACAACAACAATCATCATATGCAGGTGATAAGGGTATATTGCTACACAAGTAAGAGAAGTTGATGATTGAAAAGTTGAAGTTATCACGTTTATCATAAAGCTTGGTTGTTAGGTCATCATGCAAATATTTATGTGTATAATTATTAAGTATTACACGTATGTACAAAAGAGTAAGCTTGTGTTTAATTCTTCTTTCAATCAGTGTTTCCCATCCTAATTCTTTATAGTAATTTTGTTTCGAAGAATAGCGCCTCTATTTGTACACTTAATGATAGATTACTCTGCTCCTCTGTGCAATTATTCCACACTACATTGCCATATTTTAAAAAGGGAATCCCTGTTTTATTTATATTTGAGTCTGCTTCAAAATCAAGGTATTATACGAATAGGTACATGTAACTATTTTCAAAATACTAATTCTAGAATAATAATTTGTTTTCGATTGAATAAACAGGACCTGTTAAAGAGAAATCGTCACATTCAAAGTCTGAAACGTCAAAAAATGTTTGAAATTTTAGAATTGCTTTAGATTTTTCCAAATCGTAATCCGGCTGTATATTCTTCATTCCAAAAATGTCTTCAAGTATTGAATTTGTATCATTGTCAGATTTAGTCAGTTCTTTAAATGCTGAACTAGTATCACAACTTGGAAGCCTTGAAAAGGATGCATGATTTTTTTTCGGCCAAAATTTCAAATGTTTGAAATATTTCATTTAATATATTACGGAGAAAAAGAGGATATGACAATAGGGTGAAACGTATTATAATGAATATATGAACATCAAACGGTTAACTAAATGAACTTTTGCAGAATAGTTTTGGACTGATATCCCTCACCTACAAAATGACCCCCGGGTGTCAAAGATGCAGTGCTTCCATTGAGAGGAACACAGTAGAGAACTACACAGACAAGGTTCGATGTTTCCTCTGAAAACTGCTAACAAGCTCTTTTTGGGCAGTTATTTTATGTCAAAGAAAAATAAACTTGAAAACTAAACAAACTGCTGAATTTAAGGAAAACAAACATTTATTTTAAACGTACATATATCAATTAATATATCTATTCAGTAGAATTTTGGCTATATCCCACTAGCACACATGAGATTATATCATTATAGCATAATGTTACTGGTAATAAAATTGCAGAGACATAACTTTTTACTGTTGATAATTTTCCTTGAAAGCCGCCCCCCCTTTTTGTTACAGCAAAGTTAAATCATGGTAATGTGGTGATGCATTAATAAAATTTGGTTTTAAAACAATTGTAACCTATCCCCCTCCTTTTATGTGACTTATTTCTTGGAGATTTATCGAAAGGTTTGAAAAAAATTTAACAAATAATATTCTTTATATTCATATATTATTTTTATCCAAATATATATATATATATATATATATATATATATATATATATATATATATATATATATATATATATATATATATATATATATATATATATATATATATATATATATATATATATATATATATATATATGACTCAACATGTTTTATTAGATATTTATAGTATGCATTTATTAACTTCAAATTTTAAACTATAGAGCATTTTATTTGCAAATAAGACCTTTTAAAAAAAAAAAATCTGGAAAAATGAAGGGAAAAAATCTTTCCACACTGAAACCATATTTTTAATAAATAATTTTTTTGGTGAAGCAATCCTCCTTAAATTGACGGAATCCATCCTAGAGTAAGCTTAACTAAAAGTCTTCCTATCCCCGATAAAGAATTTTCAGAGCATTATCTTCTTCTGTTAATTTAGTATAAAATGCCTATTGAAAGACTAGTTGCCCCCTTTGTTGCAATATAGTCTAATCTCTCAAATGTTTAATTATGAATTGAAAAGTTTTTCTTTAAAAAAAGTTAGAGCAGCTAGTCCCCATTTTACAAAAGAACTTACGACGAAAACCAAAATGTAATTTTGTGATTAATTTTCTTCTTTACATTAATTTGAAAATGATAGTAATATTTTCAGAGTTTTTAAGAGATATTTTTACACAAGCAAGTTTTTTTTTAACAAAATTAATAATTTTGTAAAATTTTACATTCAGCTAAATTTGTTGGTCTTAGTCGTAAGTTCTTTTGTAAAACGTGGCTGCACCTGAGAATATTTTGACGAAAATATCTTTGAAACCTTAATTTAAAAAGAAAATTTAATTTGATTAAAAAAAAAGTCCTTCTCTATGTATTTGTTAGTTAGTTAGTTCAAATTGCAAAACGTCATTCTTTAAAAATAAATATATAATTTAGTTGTTAAAATGTTACCGACAAATTATGACGAAATAAGCAAACAACACTGAAAAAGGTAATAATAACGGGTTAGTCACTTAATAAAATCCAAAAACAAAAAAAAAAAAAACAACAACAAACAAACAAAAAACAAAAAAACAAAATGACCCTAATACATAAAATTTACATCAAATTAAAAAAATTGCATAATTATTTACTATTTGTTTTAGCAAGTTCATACACAACTGATCTATTTAGCAATTTTAAATATGTATCTAAAATGCACAATCACTTGACTTCATATTTTTTCTTACCACCAAATATGATAAAAGAACTAAAAAGAATAATAAAAAAAAAACAACAAACAAACAACTTCCTACATTGTGCCTTATAGAAAATTAAGAATTTTTAGATTTTTTTCTATGTCTTTTTTTTTTAAATTTCTATTTGATTATTATAAGTTTATTTATCTATTTATTTTTAACGTCAAGTGCTTGGGCTAAAACTGACAATGACGTCAAACGCAGCTATTCTCATTGAGATTCGTGAATTAATTATCAACTATGAAACCATTTATGGGTAACAGATTACCAAATGACACAGTTATAGTATGTTAACTAAGGGAATAGGGTAAAGGCCGACTTGAACACACACAGATCCTGGTCTGTGATCATGAACTGAATCTTATCTTCATTAATAAATACATCAGCGAATTGTATTACTCACGGTCTATTACTATCTTTGTTATATTCCATTAACTAAGGGGATTAAATAAATTTACTATATAAGACATGCACTTCAATTTCAAAATTCAAATTGGTTTTGACTGACATCTGAAGGTTAAGACAAATTTGAAATTTAAGCAAAATGGCATCACGTGTTTTGAGCTGTCTTCTGCTTGTAGCATTTGTTCCTGCTAATGCCTTTTTTCATGTAAGTTGTCCATCAGTATCTTTGATATTAAAATTAGATTGACATCACTGTTGCATACATAAGTAAAATATGAGCCATATATAAAATATAGGTATTAAAGGAGACAAATCTTTAAATCAGTTCAATAAGTAGCAATTTGATTTTTTGTTCTTCGAACTTTTGAATATAATGCGTCTTCAATGTAGTTTATATTAGAAGAGCTGGGTTTTAACCGACGTGCATAATGTAATACAAGTACTCTACAAGATTTCATTGTACATGACATATTTTTATGAATTTATAATATTTGTAGTCTCAGAGTTACTCCTGGGAAACGAATTTACCAAATGACCAGCTTGTGAATGAGTGTGCCAGATACTACCCCTTATTTAAGATAGCCCGCATTGCCTCCACCGATACTAATTTGGCTAATGCAGGCTTTTTTTCATCCCAAACCCAGTACGACATCAACAGGGTAAGTCTATAGGAATGCTTTATAGTTTTGAGTGTATTTTCCAGGTAATAGTTGTTTAATATACAAAGATTTTTTTCACAAATAAGCCCTTCTCATCCTCATTTTATGGATAAAAAACAATGAAATCTTTCAGTTAAAAAAATTTCTCTGTCAGTTATTTTTCAAGTTTTTGTAATATTAAACCGAGTGATTGTCAGTTCTTATAGTTGCATGCTTAAGATAATCATTACATGAAAAAACGATAACATTGTGTCTTGGTTAACTTTTCAGAACAAGATGGCAATCCGTTTCCACGCTCCCGTGGCACAGTCCACCACTTCTACACCAGTTTGCTTCGTTATGGACAGTAACGCTGTGGAAGAAGAAATTACTGGAGAACTCGTCAACAGAGGCGACGTAAGTAATGTCTCAATAACATCGTAGTCTTTTCAAAATTCAAAAATGTATGCTTATTTATTTTTTGTAAAAGACCTGGAGTTTTATCTTTAAAGATTTTGAAGTTACAAAATAGATGGGTGAGAGGTATAAACCTTCTCTTAAAATGATAAAATTTTAGAAATAAATGCTTATAAAATTTTGGCTAAGTCAAGAACCTAAGACTTTTACAATACGTCAATTATTAGGATAAGAAAATTGAAGATATCTGGGAATGTCAATGTTTCATAAAATGATAGGTAATATGGTATACCAAGTAGAGGAATTGTAAAACAATAATTTTACAGGCCCATAGAACACAGGGGTGGGTGGGGCAGGGGGGGGCCCCACTTTTTCTGAGTATAGTATTTTGCTATAGCAAAATTTCCTATAGATGCTGGTTGCCCCCCCCCCCCCCCCCACACACACTATTTGTTGCTGTAAGGTCGAGCTTGGGCAAATTCCAGCATTCGGTTGTCAGATTATTTTGGGAAGTCCCCCCCTTTTGGTCTGTATGGATTTTTTAATATTTTTGTTTTGCTTGTCAGATTTATTTGGGAGGTTGCCCCCCCGCCCACTTTTAAAACCGCTGCTACTGGCCTTTTTGAACATAAATAGGTCATTTCTGGATACATTTAATCTGGTTTGGTTTATACATGTTGAAAGTCCTAACATGTAATATTGGCTAAAAAAAACCTTATAATTTATTGCGTAATGCCAATTGTGATATATACCCACTATCGTCCAGACAATTCAATGTAATCAAGATACATATGTAACTGCAGATGTGAATAAAACATCAGTATGGTAAATGTTCACTAAATTTTAGGCCGGGGAAATAGAGACTGGAGAGGCCTTGACTCGCTTTGTGGAGGTCGCTGACAGGCTGACCATTCAGTCCTCCATGGCCAGCAATGGTTGGTTTACTACTGCCTTTTGTTGTAAAGCCATCAACAAGGGAAACGCTTATCTAATGAAAACTAGTGAGTATTCTCTGTATCTTTCTCACTCGATTTTTTTCTTATTATTTCAAAGAACATTTAAATAGCAAATTAATTATTTTTTGACTTTGAAGGTTCTGTTGCACAAGTGACCCAGTCGTTTATGGTCAGTGGACTCATTGATCCTTCCCAGCCAGAGCTGAACGTGCCTTTCAACATCAATGTCACTTCCGGAATCGTTTTCAACCCTTAAAAAGGAACATGTTTCTAATCGTGTTAAGAATAAGATATACAACTTTTTCTTAACAAACAATTTAAATCTGTGATATCATACTTTGATTTTAGATGTCATTTTTTGGTAATGTTTAAATTCAATTTGAGGCAAACCCTTAAGTTTGCTTTTCAAGTCGAAGTGTGTCCATTTTTCCATGATGATGTCATGAACCTTTTCTTTTTTGTTTGATTATATAAGAATTAAAATATAAAGAGTTCATTTTGGTTGATGTTGTTGAATGTTACCTTTAGAACTTATATTTACATGAAATATTTGAAAGAACACATTTTTCCTCATATATGATACATCATGACGTCATGGACAAGCTCTCAATATGTATTGTCCATCTTTTTGAAGATAGTGAAAAGAATATCATTATTTACAGCAATGAACAGAAAAATAGATCCACACATGGGGAATTGAGGACAAAGAAAAATATATGGTCAAACAAATCGCATAACTTCTGTTCTGCAAGATACCGAGTGGTGATTTACTTAAGTTTTACAGAATTATTTTGTACAGTAATAAACGCCTTCCCCCGTATTGATGTTGATTATCCAAAAGGTCGGGTTTTATTTTATGGAAATTTTTTTTTCTTATTTTATGTTAATCCAACTTTAATTTCATCAAAATTTGAAACATGGAGACAGTTTATTTACTTTCAAATGTAAATACCTGATTTCTTTCCACATTTTGACCTTTGAAATGAACATGGAAAGCTATAACTATCATGTAACGTTATTTCGTTGTAATTCTTCATTAAAAATAGTGCAGCTTTTTACGAAATTAATGCAATTATTCCAAAAAATACAATTGATATCCTCCTATATGGAACAGTAAGTTTTCAAATCATTATATTTTACGATGGGATATTTTTAATGGAAAGAATCGAAACTCAAGACTATCACAACTAACACTGACACTTTTCAAATAGTGGAGCGTTTAAAATTGATACAAAGTGTAATTCAAAGCATGTTTTAATTACTTTATACATAAAAATGCAACCACCCACACACCTCCTCCATGTTTATTTTATACATATCTCAAAATACTAAATGATAGAGAAAGAAAAAATAAATACACACTTTTGCTTTATATCAATTAAGATTATATAATCCGGGAAAAAGAACAAAACATGTTCAAATCGCTTATTGTGCAATAATTCTTTATTAGTACTCCAGCATACTCGAGGTTCACCGCAAGATACTTTTGACTTGCTGTGGTACATGTATATATATATATATATATATATATATATATATATATATATATATATATATATATATATATATATATATATATATATATATATATATATATATAAGGACACACATGCTACAAAAACAAAAAAAATAGATGCATGGATTGTATATATTTTGGACTTACTTCAGTTGTAAATTATGAGTATTTCAGATCTCTAAAATATAAGAAATTGTAATTCAAATATCTTTCTTTTTGCCATCTACAGGATGCATACCTACACATTCACTTATTTCAGTTTCTGACAACTCAGTTTAGAAATTTAATTTCATTTTGATGATGACAAAAGTTTTTTTCCTCGCAATTTCTCCTCATTTTTTTCCTTCTCTCTGTTTATTAATTGAACGAGATCCGGCCATTTCCTGTGCTGTTATAACCTAACACGATATATGCATATACACTGCAAATTTTTCTATTCATATCTGTATTTTTTTTCATTATGTATATTAATATCCTTATAAAAAAAAAAGACAATGGTATGATTAATATATTATGATGTGTGTAAAACGTCTGGCAGTTGTACGTCTGTTATTTGCGGCAGAGTATTTTGGGAGGGGGTGGGAGAGTGCAAACTTATTGTATTTAGAAAGGACATTTTATTAGAACATTTTGTACTTGTCATTTGTAAATGTCATTAAATGGTGATGAATAATTTTATATTAATAATCATATCATGAAGAACATTCCTAAAAATCGAGCAGTAAAACTGAAAACTTTGAAGTAAATAAGAAAAGGAGCCCATGGTCAGAAATACTTTTGTAATGGGGTGTGGACTGAGCCCATAAATATTACAATCGTACGTAGTAGTATTGGTGAGTTGAACAACGTTGAGGTTAGCTGGTCAACTGGAAAGAACTACGGGCAAGCGTAGATTGCAAGGCGGTGGTAAGACAATCAATAAAAAATACCTGTACCTGTATATCCAGAACTATGATCATGAAAAAACGCGTTAAACTCTCTCTCTCTCTCTCTTTAATATTCTGGCTCTTCATATCTTTTTTGACTTTTTGTCTTTCATTTCAATTTTACAATCTTTTAAGACTTTGGCAATATTTAGACTGATCTAAAGACTTAAACATATTAAGATTATATCAGTCTACTCTATAACAAGATTCCAGAACTTATTTTTTTTCATTCATTCTTTATTTCCTCCATCTGGAGATAATGAAATATAAACCATACATTACATCAATATTGCCATTTAAACAGACATATACTAGTATAAACAAAAAGGATATGGAAAAACGTACATGTATTTACAATACCCTCAAAAGGATGTGTTTGAGAAACATAAGTATTAAAAACTAATTTGTTCTGTCTGACAGCTAGGGGAGCTAAAACTGAACGAGAACCCCTGTGATGGTGCGCCGCTGCGCATCGAATTAACAAGCTTAAACTATTAAAATTTAACAAGCCAAAGGCTTCACTACCTATCCGTTTCGTAAATTGAAGAGTGCCCCAGTAGAACAAATAACATTTCACGCTGGGTCAAGCCGCATAACTCTGCAATAGGTGTACATATCGAAACAGTTTGTGATCACGTTCCATCAAGTGTCCCTAATGATTGCAGTGGCTGGACACGCACAAGAGGAATGCTGAAAACATTAGAGAAAGAGCTTTCATAAAATTAAAAAAAATTAACGATCATTTAAATAAGATTTTGAAAACATTCAAATCTTGTTCTTGGCTTACACGAGTGGAAAAAAAGTAGTGGATTGGTTCTGATCACAAAGTAGTTCAATACGACTCAACATATCTTTCATATAATGAAATAAAATCTTGGGCGTATATGTTTAGTCATGGCCTCTAATTACGGATTGCCTGAGGATTGTTAGGTTACCGTGAAAATCGTATCTGTTTATTGTGCATGATTTTTATGTCACGGTCAAATGACAATGCAATCATCGCTCTAGGCACTGTCCACTTTCCCATCTGATATTCTCCTTCTTATCAGGACCCTCTATAATTTCATGTCCGGTGGAATATAAGATTAAGAATGACGAAACATTAAAAGAAATTTGTTACTGCATAAAAACACGAATGTGTGAAAGTGGATGTGTTTTTGAAAATTACAGAAGAAGCACTGAAGCACAAAAGGTATGTATGGTCAAGGCAGGTATTACACATTTTAATAGCCAGAAAATCTTTTTTGTTAATACACTTTTTTCATAGTTTTCCTATTTCAGTAAGGTGTATTCTATACATAAAAACATAGTAATCACGGAAATTAGATAGAATATCAGTTACAGAATGTAAGTACATTGTAGTTATTATATATTTATTTTTTAATTGATTTATGTCCTTTCTTTTGAAGCTCTTTACTTTTGCCCGTTGCTTTCATCAAGATATTTCATATTTTGCATTCTTTCCAATGGTCTTTAACTAGTAAATACTACATAGGCCCTAATGTTAACATGGCCCCTCCTCTATCGCCTAAGTTGTTCTCTCTTACTGTAAACAGTTTTACACAGCGGGGTAATTTATTTTATTCTTTACATCGACTAAATTGGATTTTAATCTAGATAAGAATTCAGATGTGCAACTATACAATGTACATGTATAATTATGTTTTATTTCTCAAAATTATTAAGGGGAATCGATCCTCTTATAAGAGAGATAACTTTCCAAGTAAAAAGTCCTAATGTTACTCATAGTTCATATATACATACTTATATATAGAAATACATACATGCATCAGGTATAAATAAGATTAAAATGTTTTTCCAGCAACAGAAAAGAAATCACCAAGGATGTACCTATTAATCGAACCGTTCTAAAATGTTGACCTTCCGGTCTGTCTAAATATAATAAACCTGAATGCATATATATCTCGACGTAAGTGTCGAAATGAATGATAAGTACTTTTTAACGAATCTGAACCATACGTTTTACTCACATGCTGAATAGAACAAAACTATTAATATCCTATCCTATAGATCTTCTTGTTCAGGGATACAGAGAAAATATATACTAGCTCTTGATCATATTGTACTCCATTATATTTTTACACTTTCAATCCTCCCCGAAAATAACACCCCCAGCCTCAAGTACAAATACCCAAGTTACGAGCAGGTGTACATTGTGTATCATTGCATAAACTGTCCATCTAGGGCTTAAGCCCCTATACACTGCAAACTAAAGAACTCTGATTCTATGGTATTTTTTGGAGTTGAGAAATCTGCCCTTAGATCTAAAATAATCTTCAGTCTTATATCTGTAGTTAATGCAAGCATTAATTTGAATAGTCCCAGATAATAAACTGAACTCTGCATTTGCATGCATTTCCCCCACGTAAGTCAACAACAGTGATCTCTGTTCATCATGCTATACTTCGGTGTCTGAGAATATTTTTCCTGTTGGTAAATGCCACGTGCCCAATTTTGAAAATAAAATAGATAAGCTCATTATTTATACCCTTATACAATAAAATTTTCTCAATGTTCAGTAAACGTTTGATTTAGTGTATAGCAGGTCCTTAATTGACCCTTTTAGGGGCAGGTTCAAATACCATTGCAATAGGGAATTATAAATTGAAAAAAAGTGGCAAAGTGGAAATTACTGATGACTTTTAACACATTTTACTATAAGATATAGACATTAGGATTGCAGGCTTATCCTCTGTTCACACACATCTTGACGAATTAGTATAATCGGAAAATAAAGATTTCCGAAAGTACCCTGAAGAATTCAGTCTGCTTGTTGTTTATGAATTTTACCTTTTTTGGGAAAATGGAGTCAATTGGGACTGGGTTTACCGGACTTACATGCAACAGATATTAAGTCGTGAGGTGTCACAACATCAGCCAATTGGAAAGACTGATAATGCAGTATTATCATAGTATAAAGTTCTTTTAAACAAAGTTCAAACTGATTTTTTTTTAACTTAAGACTCTCAAATCGAATACTACAAAATCTGAATCATTGAATTCTTTATTAATTTGGTGAAGGAAGATTACAGATAACCATTTCACTTTTGGACAAATTGCTAATAAAAACATAGCCGTACAGTCTACTTATTAGTTTTTCACTTCAAATATATTAATATGTAATTTACTAATTTCGAAGATCGGCTTCTCTCAGGCGTGTCATATGAACGTGTCTGTTTGAAATAATAAGCGACAGAAAAATGTAATAGATTTAATGTATTTATAATAAATCAATTAGTGAAATAGTATTATAATAATTGATCTTTGTATCGAAAAGCGATCGTGGATGTATTTCTCACATTTACGATAAATATGCCAGACTTTTCTTCCGTATTTTTCTTCTCAACCTGCTGTAAACAACAGGTACAGGTAAGTTTACACGCTGACCTTGGTTTGACTTTGATCATGACACTTTTACAAGCTACACCACAATAAAACCGCCAATACACAAAATTCTAAGTAAAATCAAACGAGGAAGAGACACTTATAAAAAGAACACAAAAATAAGGAAGAGTTTCAAAAGCTGTCACGGGTTTTATACTTTTATAGTTACTTTAAAATGCAAATTTGCTTTATGATAGCTTAGTTCGATAGTACATTTCAGGCGAGTAGAACGGGGGGGGGGGGGGAGAGACCCCCTTCCCATTTTTTCTGATCGTAGTCTTTTGCTATAGTAAACTTTCATTTAGATGCTTGTCGCCCCCCACTTTTTGTAACTGATTGGTCGAGCATTGACGAATTTCAGTATATGAAAAAAATATACCAAAAAGTAAGAGAAAGATCCTTCTCCCCACGAAATTAGATTTTTGAGTTTGGCCAGTTAACCTTTTTTTAGCCCACCTGAGCCGAAGGCTCAAGTGAGCTTTTATGATCAAAGAGTGTCTGGCGTCCGTCTATCGTCTGTAAACTTTTCACGTTTTCGATTTCTTATCAAGAACCCCTGGACCAATTTCAACCAAACTTGCCACAAAAATCCTTGGGTGAAGGGGATTTAAGTTTGTTCACAGGAAGTGCCACGCCCTCTTTCGATGGGAGATAATTAAGAATTCTTGAAAATTTGGTGGCATCTTTTAAAAATCTCAAGAATCAGTGGGCAATAAAAGATGGAACTAATGTAAAAGCTTCATTACATACTCTAGATTCAATTTTGTTCATATCATAACCCCCGGGAGTTGGTCGGGGCCACAAGAGGGGGTCGAACTTTTACATAGGAATTTATAGGGAATATCTTTAAAAATCTTCCTCCTGAGAACAGCAAAGCCATAATTAGTCATATTTAAAACTCAGACAGAGCTGTCTTTATAATCATTCCAATCATTAACCCAGACAGAGTAAAAGGAAAATCCCTATATCCCTTGTAACAACCTGATTATACATGATACATGGGAAATATCTTTAAAATCTTCTTCTCAACAACAACTAAGCCATTATTAGTCATATTTATACAGAAGCAAGCTTAGGTATTGTAGAATCAAGTTTGTTCAAAGTATGACCCCCAGGGGTTGGGGTGCACAATAGAGGGTCAAAGTTTTGCAAAAGAATATGTAGGAATCATCTTGGAAAAAATCTTCTGCTCAAGAACAACAAAGCCATGATTAGTCAAATTATTATAGAAGCATCGTCAGATAGTGTAGATTCAAATTTATTCAAATCTAGGGTGGGTAGGGTGGGGCCACAATAAGCGATCAGAGTTTTACATAGGAATACTTGGGGAAAAAATCTTTAAAATTCTTCTGTTTACGAACAGCAAAACCATGATTATAATAGTAATATTGATATGGAAGTATTCTGAGGTAGTGTAAATTTAAAGTTTGTCCCCCGTAAACTTTTCAATATTGAACTGATTTTTGCTTCTTCCTAGCCAAGCCCAATGTGTGCAGATGAGTGATGTGGCCCATGGACCTTTTATTTATTTTTTTGGGATCCCCCCTTTTAAAACCGTTCCTACGTGCCTGCATCTAGATGTGAAACATCTGTATTTATCATGTATAGAGTGTATGGTCACAGGACCTAAATTAGAACAAAACTTTTATGTGAGGATGTACCTGTCCTTGTAACAGAGGAATTTATTAATAGATATGATCAGATCGGTTCACTATTGTCAGGATGGGTGCTAGTCACTGCGCCCCAAAACCAGAACGCCCCATGCATGAGCGCCCCAAACATTTTTACCGGCGCCCAAGTACAAATATGAGCGCCCCAAATTTAAATCACGAGCGCCCCAAACTTAATTCACGAGCGCCCCAAATCAGCATTTCGATCGTCCCAAGGCTCATTAACTAGTAAAGAAATAAATTATTGGCTTTTTTGTTTTTACATTTCATTGTTAAAAATATATTGATATGAACAATTCACGAGCGCCCCAAGTTATATATATCATGAGTGCACCAGATTTTAAGTACAGTATAATTTGTCCAAACCGGACACCATACTCCTAACAAAGAATGAAAGAAATAAACAAGAAAAAAGTATAAATAAAGAGAAATCTTATTTCTTCCCCCCCCCCTAATTTTTCCAACAAAAATAACTTTTAACACGTGTTAATTCAAAAGAAGCAACATTAAGTCGGTTCAGGGTGATACTGCTTGCAAGGGCACAGTTTCTGGTTTTGTTGTCCTTCTTGTTTTTGTTGATGTTATTTTTGTTGTTGTTTTGTTGGCTCTTTCTTAAATTAGCTTATCTATTTTCGAGCGTGGGCGTATTTTGATTAAGATATGTCCCAAAAAAAGAGGGTTATCGATTCATACAGTAAATTATACTGTTACATGTTATGGCTTGTGCACTTGTTAAGCTTCACAATGAATATATGGTAGGTTATCTTAAGAAACAATAAAGAGCATATTTAGGTTATAAATTTCCTACTATATGGGATTACAATAAAATCTTTTATATCTAATTAATTCATGTGCTTATTGTGACATAGTGACCAAGGGAATTCTATCTATTCATGATCCATTCAAATGTTGACACACAAAAAGATCCTGTTTATCCTTCAAAGGTTAAAATGATAAACGCAAGCGTTATGGAGTTTTACTCATTACCCGGATGGCTATATCCTCTGTTGCACTAGGAAGATCATGAAATCGGTATTGAAACAAACCAAGAGCGCGTAACATTTTCCTTCGGTCCATATATAAAGCTTTCAATTATGATGTTAATTAGTAAATTGAAGGAAAATGAAGTACGCGTTTACTTTCACTGTTTTACTCCTGTTTGTGGGGTTTGCGGAGATTCTTGGTCGCCCGGGCAAAGGGCGAGGAAGACGCCCCGGAGGGAGGGGACGCGGCCGTCCCGGGGGTGACAGTAATGAAGATAATGTAAATCGTCCCTCCTCCAGAAACGTAAGTTAATTTTGGGATTGAATAACATTATTTAGCCAGAATATAATATAAATACACTTTCCATGTTTGACGATTCCTATTTGATTATCGTGTACATAAAATTTTCACTTTCTTATTTATTTAGTTGGGTGCTACTTAAACATCTCTACTGAGATATGTAACGTCGGTTTTAAATAAAGTTAAAAGGTGTTAAAATTGAGGAGAGGCGACTCCCAGAATTAAGCTTTACTTTAATTCCTCCACTACTTATGTCATTGAAATTAAACTAGAGGATAATGAAATTGGACTCTTAAGATACATTCCATCATATAACTCTTTCAAAAATCCTGGCAGGTCCAAAAATTTTCCTGGTTGACCGATCTTGATGAACAAAACACCAATGTCGCCGTGGATGTTGACGAATTTGCACGTGTGCACGTAAACAAACAGAGAGCCGTAATGGTATCAAGAGACAGACAATTGAGAGATACCGAGTTTGACAAACACCACACAATGTTTGATTTTGCAACAGTGGGTATTTCTTTAAGTTTGTTGTTTGTTACTTTGGCAATTACACACACAAAAATATTTAAGTATTAATTCCAGTCAAAGAGAACCATTTTTTTTATTGTTACAATTCAGAACCTTTCAATGTGACAGATTAAGTGTTCCTAACACTCTTCTCTTTTGGAAAAACGTTAACTATTCCCACCAATAATATATTCGGTTTCGTCTCTGTTATTCAGTTTTCATTAATCTTTTAGGGAAAAATTGGAATCCGTTTCAAGTTCCGACTCCCCCCTGCTGGACATATCCTTCCAGGTGAATCAGCAGAGGATCCAGCTGACGCTGATGACAAAAATGTTGGTGATATTTTTGAGGATGGTGATTTTGCCGATAAAGACTATCCAGCAGGATTTTTCGGTGGCTTCAACCGCATTTTCCGATCCCGGCCTGTTGAAGTTTGCTTTATAGGAGATAGTTTGGTTAACATGACACAAGCTATGGAAGAGTTTGAAAGAAGACAAATGGTATATATATATATATATATATATATATATATATATATATATATATATATATATATATATATATATATATATATATATATATATATATATATTATATATCTATATCTATATGAAATTATTTTCCTGATAATCATTCAAATAGTTTTGTATTTTTATTGTCCAACAACAGTCGTTCAAAAATGATTATTATGAAATAGAGAGTTCATGAAAAGTGGAATTGACAACTTCTCTAAATATTTTTAAAATGAAAATACAGTAATATGAGGAAGAAAAAAAACATTTTTTTTCCATAATTATCATTGGTTAATTGTATACAGATGGTTGAAATTGAAACTGGTGCTAGAGCTGCTTACAGTGTGGCAGCTGCTAACAAATTGACCTCTGACCAACTGAAGGCTCTCAGTCCAGCCATCGCTAGATTCTGCTGCAGAGCCGCCAAGCTGGACAATGTATACCAACTGACCGCCACCGGAATCGTGGGACCTTCCACTTCCACACTCCCTTCAACGAGCTCCTCCACCTCCCCCTCCACCACCACCACCACCACTCAACCTACAACTACCGGTGGTGGCATACTACCCAACAGGCCATTCCACCCAGGTATGTAAAGTTGCTATTTACGGCATGGATACTTTGGATGTCCATTTTCAAATTAATGAAAAGTTTACATACTCACAAGTATATGCATTTTCATTGATGAAATGAAGAATAGAATTGCTAAATAAAATATGAATTAAAATCACGTGTAATGCCTGCAAAATAAATGGGTAATAAATGTACCTGTTGTGCAATTTCGTGTTTAGCTTGTTTCTTTATCAAAACAAATTTTTCCATTATAGGGCTTATTGAAGTAAACCCTCCAAGCTCCTTCCTCGCCTCTGGATTCATGAACCCAGCCAACCCATCTCTGTCCATTCCCTTCCAGATATCTCTGGCTTCTGATGTTCAACTGAACATGAGGAAAGGGCGCCGAGGATAAGAAGGATGATTGACAATGTTCTATAGAATCAGCAATTTCTTTACATTCACTCACAAATTCATGGAGGAGTCACATCTGAATTGACAAAGAATCTATGAATGATTTTTTTCTATAGATTTTAAGAGAGGTTTGAGAACGCTTTAAAGCAATAAAGACGGTTTTGTCTGGGAAATTCTTGTTTTCTTTCTATAGTTTTTTTTTTTCAGAGAAGAAATCATGTGAATTTCGATTCAATTTGTATGAATTTCATGCAAGAAATTGCCAACTCATCGTTAAGACTTTTATTTTCTTGAATGGTTGTACAGAGTGACTACTTTGTTATGAAAACTGTTATGACGTCATCTGTACATGTGACTGTATCAAGCACGTACTTTTTATATACATTGATTATGCACCACATTTCGAAATTATTACGAGATACAATTATAAGAGAGATATTTTTTTCTTTTCATAACTATCTGAATCATCTTCTTTGTTGCCTTTTTGTCAATTTTTGCCCCGTATGGTATAAAAATATTCTCGAATTTCATTTATATCTCTTTTTTTTCCTAGCTTTTCCATCAATGCTATATTAAAGTACAAATCGCTTACGCGGGTTATATCTTTTTATGCAATGTTGCAACCGTTCAACTGAAGAAAGACATTTTATTGTTTGAATATATAAAAATCTTTAAAATTACATAGCAAAATCTCGAGTCGGTGGTCCGAGTATTTCATGTGAAGCACATTTTAATTATTTCTAAAATTGTTCAAATCGAAGTCAATCTATGGACATCGTAGACGAGAATTCGGGGTTAATTTTAGATAGTGGTAACATGATAAAAGAAACTTCGGAAAATTGCATTTCTCATTAGCATTACTTATTAAAAAATGAAAAAGAGGATAATCAATGTTTAGAATTGAATAAGGAATTTATTTCACTAGTGGGACAGGATTGTTTTATTTTTCACAAGTGCGAGGCACGATTGGAAATACAAAAAAAAAAAAAAAAAAAAAAAAAAAAGATCCTGTTTCAGGAATGAAGTAAATTCCATATCTAAACTACAAAATGTTGAATATTTGTCATTACATTTTCTTTGATTTTTCCTTTGCCTCTGCCTTTTCTTAAAACAATGCCTTAGGCTGTGGCATCATAGTTGAGATGGTGAGATGTCATAGCTAGGAGTTTGTGAGATTGAAGACATTGTAAACATGGATTTCAACAACATATTTGGAGAAACTTTTGAAGATTTAGTCTCTGTCAGGATGGTTTATTCTCTCTCTTATAACATGGCAGGGAGTATATTTTACAAAGGAAAGGAAAATCTAGAGTTTGCCGCACTGCTTATTTTCTTTCACACAGTGACAAAATATCACTTTTATTCATAAATAAATTATACAATATTTCACTGTTGAAAATGTCATAAAGAGTTTTCATTTCATCACAAGGATACATGTAATGTGCAATCAAACTGAATAATGACCTTCAAATCTTGAAAGATTGATTTAATGTTTTAGTGATGAAAGTTGAACAATTTTTAAAATGAGAGCTAAAACGCACACTTTGTAAAAAAAAAAAAAGGTGAGAATTCACAGGAATAGGATCAAAGTTGTATCAACATTACATCGAAAATAGTATTAATCAGTTCATGACATGCACTAAATTTTCCTTGCTGAATTGTAAAAGGTTCCTGTCAGTCTAAAAAAAAATCAAAGCATTCATCACACTGCTTGGATTCTGTTTCTGACATCTTTTGTTTATCCTTTTTCTCTATTACTGTTTCTTCAAGTTCACAGAAAGTTTGATTGGTTCAAAAAATTGTTAAAAAACAACAAAAAGACCAAAACGATGAGGTATTGTAAATTAATTTAAAATATATTATATAATATAACATTCTGTCTCTAATTTTAGAATGAAGAAAATCTCATTAATAATGAAGATATAACACAGATTTGTAAAGTGTAGATCCGAAAGACGACCCTTATGCAATTTTACATATAGTAATCATGGGAAGTCGTTGAGAAAGTAAAAAAAAATGTAAATTTTCAAGACTCTGCTCTACGTGACTTTTCAATTTCAAAAGAGATGGGTGAACAAGAAGTGCAGAATGCCTATATCTTCAGATAAAAAAAAATCAAAATCAGTTTGTGAATTTAGTATTTAGAGTGCAGTTCTCATTATTGAAATTTATGAAATTATGATAAACATTACAGTTCTGAGGAAATTTTATACAGCAAAAAATATTCTGTTATTCAAAAAATAATGTGGTATTTGTTTGGGTTCGAACCCTAGCAAATAAAATCCTGAATATCATTTTCCTCTGAGACTAACAAGTTAATTATTACGCTACCCAACTCCTGATGAATAGTGGCATTTAAATATATATAATGTTGTGATATGTCCCTTGACTAAATGGACTTTAAGTATATCTCGGAAAAAATGCGAATGTTGTGTTTTAAGGTATAGTGGGTCTTTGCTCTATGTTTTTGTTACTCATAAAATGTACATTTTTACACAGACTTTGAGGATAAACTTTCAAAAAAAAAAAAAAAAAAAAAAAAAAAAAAAAAAAAGACGTAGCTCATATCGAAAAATTGTCTTATAGTGTGAGAAAATGATCCTTTTTGTCCTCTTTAGTGTGTGTATGCTATTTCATAGGCATATAAGTTCAATCTTTGTGAAATTTTTGCAAATTGTGGAGATTTTACATTAAATATAGTTTAATTTTAGATGAAATATCAAAGAAAATTTTGTCATAATTGAGATTTTATTTTTCACCTTCATGTTTGTCGCACTATAGGCATTTTGCTCGCCTTGTTCGTCCATATTCTTTGCAAGGATAGGGAGGGATGGGTGGGTGGGTGGCATATTCACTGGTGAAAATTTATCTCAAACATTTATAAGAATCAACAGATTAAGGAATTATAAATACGTTTTTTTCAGTGAGAGGTCTATTAATAGATAGGAATTTCACTATTTGGTGTTTCCAAAGTCAATTTTAGAGTACTATATATACCTTGTATAAATTATTTTCCAAATTCTCAAAGTTGGGCAAAAACGCCCCCTCCCCCGCTCATACATGACTCATCAATCAATATTTTTAGTGTACAATATTTTCATTGATTTATTTTTCAGTAACAAGATGAAGTCGCTGCTTCTTTGCCTGAATCTCCTCATTGTGGCGGTGATTGGTTACCCGAGTGGGGCCCCTCCAAGCGTCTGTGAAACTATGGTCCCTGGTCATAGGGGTGCCGTACAAACGGGGGCGTCTTCGTTTACATTGACCATGAATAGTACAAGTTACACGGCTGGTGACGTCATAGAAGGTTTAATTCATTTTTTTTTAATTATTCTTTTAATTTTCACATTTGTTTATATCTTACGAAAGCCGGAAAGGCCCATTTTTGACAAGACCAAAAAAATTAACTCGTTATAACAAGATAATTAGTCGCCCCCGTGGCGCAGTGGTTAGAGCGTCTGCTCTAGAGTGGCGAAGTAAGGAGTTGATCCTTACGTCGCGGGTTCGAATCCCACTGTGGGACGTGGAGACCGGTCCTTCGGATGAGACCGTATAAACCGAGGTCCCGTGTCGCAGTAGGTGCTGGCACGAAAAAGATCCCTCACTGCTTAATGGCCGTAAGTGCCGAGTATAGGACAAAAATTTGCAGCTCTCCACCGGCAAGTGGTGGCGTCTCCATATGATAATACACAATAAAAAGGTGAAGGTCAGCAGGCTGAAATGTAGTGCATGTAGGAAATTCACATGCGTCACTTTAAAAATAGTGAAACAGTTGACATATATGTCTTTTTGGGTATAGAATGAAAGTTTAATATCTAAAGTTTACAATATGATACGCATTAATTTAGGTGTATTTCAAGCATAAATTATGCCTAGAAATATGTATTGTATCGTGAGACAGGATTTTTGATATTTTTACTCGTGCTTCGCACTCATGAAAATATAAAAAAAATCCTGTCCCACTCGTAAAATAAATTCCATATCAACTACAAAACATTGAATATCCTCTATTTATTGCCCCCCCCCCCCCCCCCAATTTCATCAATCTCTTTTTGAAATAAAAAAATTATATGCTTGCAAAGTATACATAATAAATATTGTGATGAGGAAAATAACGACATTGCTTCAATGTTGTATTGATAAATTTGATGTTCTGTCACCATGTGGTAAACGTAGGATCCGCCAAATAGAGGTGAATCTCAAATAGGTCTACGTGAATCTCCACAGCTTGGACCCCCCCCCCCCCGCAAAAAATATAAACAGTGAATCATGACAGAATATTAGATAAAATGCCAATATCAGCAGATCAGATCTAACGTCTAATTACTCAGAAGGATGTAATATCATTTTTGCTTCATCATTCCTCGTGGACAATCTGCATATGCTTAGTCACAAAGTTCAAGGGGGGGGGGGGGGGACCAAGTAAGATATTTGACAAGCAAATAGAGAAAAAAGAGATATGATATTCCAACTTCGAGTATTCGCCATTATTTTCAGGAGATATTTACTCAGGTAAAAAAAAATCTGGAGGAAGGGGCACAAAGATACTCTTGACCAGCCCCTTTTCAAAGTGGTGGGGACATTAGCCCCTTATTACGACGCCTATGATCTAACTGCTGATGTCTCACCATCCCCTTCTTCAAAACATTTCTGAATCTCAAAAATAGCATAATTATCACACTGTAATCGTATATATTATATCTTGTATTAACGCCTGCGATATGTTGCACTTATATTGTCTCTGATATTTAATTTTAGGGGTACAGTCATTGATATATGAAAGTGTATAAGTCGTCCAAAACATGTCGAAATAGTGTCATTCATCAGAAATAGTTGTCATAAATAAATTGCCAAAGTTTGAAGCAAGTATATTTGGCAATATTATTAAAGAAAAATATCGCGTCCTAATGCAACAAATTCACGAATTAATGTGTAAATGTTTTTCGCCTTAGAGTTGCTATACCTATCAAAATATGATTATTGACAGCGAGATAGATCAAGATTTAATTATAAGTAAATCCCAGAGCAAATTAAATTTTCAACCATTTATCAAGTAGAATTTGATTGATATTTACTAGCTAAAAATTCAATGGCATTAAAAACTACAGCCATTTTTATTCCTATATTGCTATTAAATCTCGAAATAAGGAGAAAACTATCTCGTTATAACGAGTTAACTAACCCGTTAGTTATAACGAGTTAGTTATCTCGTTATAACGAAATAATTATCTCGTTATAACGAGATAACTAACTCGTTATAACGAGATAACTAACTCGTTATAACGAGATACTAACTCGTTATAACGAGATAACTAATTCCTTATAACGAGATGATTATCTCGGTATAACGAGATACTTACTCGTTATAACGAGATAGCTAACTCGTTATAACGAGATACTAACTCGTTATAACGAGATAACTATCTCGTTATAACGAGTTAATTTTTTTTTATCTTGTCAAAAATGAGCCTATCAGACTTTCGTAATATCTCGCTTTTACAGAAATTTATTTTAAAATAAAAATTACTTAAATGGAAGAATATATTTTTCTGAATAATAACGACATGAAAAGTACATATTTTTATTGGGAGGTTATATATATATATATATATATATATATATATATATATATATATATATATATATATATATATTATATATATATATATATATATATATATATATATATATATATATATATATATATATATATATATATATATATAAACAGTTTAAGTTGTTCTAAAGATTTTATGTGACTTTTTCACTTTTAATACAGTTACTGTGTCCGGTGGGACTTTCAGGGGAATATTTATCCAGGCACGGTCTGCAAACTGCTCGACCGTCACTTTGCCGACTTTTTCGCTGATGACAAATGAAGGAAACCTTAAGACTCTCACGTGTAATAGTGTGGCAGATGTAAGCTTGACAAACAAAACCTTTAGACTCTCACGTGTAATAGTGTGGCAGATGTATGCTTGACAAACAAAACCTTTAATCCCTCACGTGTAATAGTGTGGCAAATGTAAGCTTGACAAACAAAACCTTTAGACTCTCACGTGTAATAGTGTGGCAAATGTAAGCTTGACAAACTGAACCTTTAGACTCTCACGTGTAATAGTGTGGAAAATGTAAGCTTGACAAACAAAACCTTTAAACTTTCACGTGTAATAATGTGAAAATGTAAGCAAGCATAAGACTCTCACCTGTGGAAATTAATGTGGAAAATGTAAGCTTAAGACTCTCACCTGTATAATGTGGAAAATGTAAGCTTGACTAACTAAACCTTTGGACTGCTACCTGTATTAATGTTGCAGGTGTAAGCTTACAAAGAAACTTTTTAAATCTCACTGTAATAATGTGGCAAATGTAAGCTTCACAAAGAAAACTTTAAGATCTATCCTGTAATAAAAGGGCAAATTTAATGTTTACTAATAAAACCTTTAAAATCTCACCTGTAATAATGTAAAAATGTAAGCTTTATAAAAAAAAATATATGAAGATTCTCAACAATAAAATTTGCGGCTAAATGTAAGCTAATCATAGCAAACATTAGAATCTCGTCTTTAATAATATGGTAAACAAAAGCTTAACAAAGCGAACTTCGGAATCCTGCCTGTAATAATGTGGTAAACGTAAGCTTTAAAAGGCAAATTTAGAATATCGCTTGTAATAATGAGGCAATTGTAAGCTTTTCAAATAAAAAAACCCTTAAGACTTGCGCCTGTAAATCACTGTAACACAGTTTCAGGGGTATTCATGTAACAAGGTTTCTAAAAATGTTTTAAACAGAATAGAATAAACATGCATTTTCACTAAAAAATTGTTTTGAAATTCTTATGTTTTGAAAAAAAAAACAACCATATTCCATCTTTCAATTGTTTTGAAATTTTTATATTAAAAAAAAATACTCCATCATTCTTAAAGCTTGCAAGTTCACGTTTTCCTTTGTTAAAAACCACAAAATAGGTCCGATTTTGCTGACCAGAATGACAAATCTGATGTTATTCACGATTATGTTATTATGTCGGGATATAACAGGAACCATTAGTTTTATGTCCCGAATTAATTTCTTATTTAAGTACGTATATTTTCCGGTGATGAAGATGAGTTAGTCAGATGCACTTTCCCTAAATTGGACAATTTACTTTCCACACTTTTCATCATTTTAAAAAGCTTTTTATAAAATTACATTGCACTGTTTTTTCTTTTCATCTTTTTTTATTATTATTATTTTAAACTTTTTTTATTTTTACGAAAGTAAATTATAAGTACCATCGCAATGTTCTGTTGTGTATTATCTTCAAATCGGAGCAAGTCATATCTTTATTTCTGATTTTGGTGAATCAATTGCAATCGGAGAATAATTTTTACCTACTTCCATCTTAATGTAAAGATTGTAAACTAGTAAACATGAGCTCAAGGATAAACATTTTGCGCTTGTTTAAAATATTTTCAAAAATGTAATTTTAATTTTAGAGTGCTGTTACACATACCACTAAAAGTGACAAAACCCAAGCAAAGTTTTACTGGACACCTGCAGCTAATGTCGGCCATATTTACTTCCGGTTAGTTTCTTTTTTTTCTCCATGCCTTGTTTTATTGGTTGATTGGTTTCTTTTACATGTTAGAAGACAATTTATTAATTGATAACATTTTTTTATATTTTATTTCAGCGCAACTGTCGTGCAAGTATACAGCACATATTGGGTTGGTATTCAGTCATCTGTGCTACGTGACAGTAACTCTAGTGATCCCGTCCCAAATTCAATTTGTCAACCCGAGGGAAGTGAGTAAAATCAAAACAATTGCAATTATTTATTTATTGCAGTTTAAATAAATCAGAGCAATATATTTCTTAATTCTGAAAGAACTTCCTTTTATCATTATTTCATGGATATTAAAGTTATCTGAGCCATTCAATGATTGCCAACAAAACCGGGATAAATTACCTCTGTTTTGGATACAAGTTATCTTAAACATTTGAATTTTCCGAAAAACCATTGAGACTGTGAAATTTTAAAGGAAATAAGAGTCTGGTCATTGAACGTTTGTCTTCAAATTACACTGAAATCATAGAGAACTTTGGTATTTTACTCAAAACATGAACGTTATTGGTGAGCGTTCTCTGATTATCTTATTTCCTTTATATTTTTTTTTTTAAAATAAAGTCTGTTTTAAAGTCATTTTATAATGAATCCGCCATCTTATTTCTGCATGCGATTTCAAATTTACAGATTTTCCTACTTCTTCTTTGAAAGCAAATTGAATGAAAATATAATTTGTACTTATATTAACCTCATAAATTATATTTTCACACACTTATTCCAGTTTTGTTTAGAAATTTTTAACTTTGTGTGATATTTTTGCGCAGGTACAACTGTACAAACACCTGGAGGAAATAGCGGCAATGGAGGGGTGGATCTTCAGCCAACATTGTCTTTTTTAACTATTTTGTTGATGACATATTTTCTAACAAGATAGCATTGTTTTTTTTCCTGTTTCAAGCATATAGTAGTAAATAAATCTGGATGCTGTAATGTAACTTTGAAAGTGACATTTTATTCAACATTGTTGTGATCAATGTCAAAATAAACTCAATAAATTACTTGCCTTTGTTTGTCGTTTTAGAATTATATAGCTATAATACAACAAGCTATGAAAACGGTGAAGCTAACGAACATTGATCAATCTTAAAAAAAATCTACAAACAATACAAATCAGTAAACAGGACATAAAACACGGACCTCCTAAAATTCCAGAGGTGGAATCAGGTGCCTAGGAGAAGTAAGCATCCCCAGTTGACCGGTTACACCCGCCATGAGCCCTATGTATTGATCAGGTAGACGGAACATTCCGTAGTCAAATTAGCTATCTTTCTCATACTGGTAAAAATGATGTGCTCTTTTTAATACAGTTTGATGATGTAAAATATTAGCAAATTGATATACATACAGTAGTTTCATCAAATCGTATTAACTTAATTCAGGATGGTTGGAATAAATTAAAGTGAAAAAGCGATAAAAGAAAAATTATACAATGTAACATTGGTCAGCTTAAGAAAACAGGTAACTCGAAACAAATTGTGCTATTGAAATATGCTTCTTGAAGAACTATTTGAATGAATGAATTTTAAAATTTGTCAAAAATAACCCTCTTAAAATTTTTTTATTTATCTGCTAAACACAAACTGTTCATATTCCAGTTTGTATTATAGAGATATCTGATATCTATGTAATGCATAAACAAATATTAAGATTTAATTATGTTTCCATGAAAAAAAAGCGTCCTCATTTTGAGTATATGAAATCCCATTATTTGTTACTTGAACTAGATGGATATATCGGATAACTATTATAAGGTCAGCTGAGTGCCATAATTGTAGGTATTAGTAATACACTAAACTTTGAATCTAAAGAGTTCTTATATACTAGTTGGGAATTTTTTTTATATTTAAGCATTGAATCATTATATTATGAAAGATATTGTCTCATAACTGCAACGGTGTGTGCAAACAAATCGAGTAACGCGCGTTAGCGCATTATGAAAATTTGTTTGTACACACTGTTGCTGTTATGAGACTACATCTTTCATAATATAATAATTCAATGCTTATATTTACATTTTAACTCCTTGTCTTCACTGCAGATGTGATTTATATTTCAAAATCCCTGTTAGTATTATCCTAGGATTAAGTTACAATCAATGGAAGAGCCATTGCAACAGCTTCTGTTTATAATATGAACGTGAATTTTGATTTTCGCTCATGACGTTGCTCCTGTACGGCGTTCAACGTTTGTGACTCAAAATAAAAAGCATACTTTACACTTTCGACTCCCTGTCCGTGTTATGGTATTTTGAATGTCCTATCTTTCCTCACACTTATTAAGCAAAATACATGTGGAATGTAAATATATTCTTAAAAAACTATTTTAAAAATAAAATAAAATATTTGTAGTTTGTAATCAATTCTTTTTTTTTTTTTTTATCAAAGAACAATACTTGCTACTTTCTAATGTGGATTTTTTATGAATTATTAATCATTTACTTTGTATACTCCCTGTTGCTAATGTTTAAACTGAGTGTTTTTGAAAACAGAAAGCCTATTGTAGATGTTTATAATAAAAGAATTTCAAAACCAGTGATACTTCTTAAATGCTGAGTATTCCAGTGTCTACTTTTTTGTTTCAGGTGGGACAAATTTTGAAAAATGGAAAGGAATTCAACAGAAGGAAAGAGCTGATAGGGTTAGGAGAGTAACCCCATTTTTTTCTATGCATTATGTTGTTCTTGGTGAGAAAGTATCCAAGACTTCTTTGATCTGTAAATGCTAGTTGATTAGGCTTACCAACTCTTTTCCTTAACAATATTCCTCTTTTTCAATATTTTGTACCACGCAGTAGACAGTGAAATACTCAGTATTTTAGAAATATCACCAAGTTTATCTATCCCTTACTAAGACATACATGACCGTATCTTAGAGGCTTCGTATTTTCAAAAGCAGTGATTTTGATCATCATCAGACAACAGGAGGTATATAAAATAAATAGGAGTTTATTTTAAAAAACTGCATGTACCATAAGAAAGTAGGGTGTACTGTCATTAATTAAAATATTAATAAAATTATACGTTATTAATCCAATATTTTGGATATACAGGGTATTTCATAATATATGTTACATTTTTAAATCTAATTATTTTTCTTACCTATCATTATTCTATTATAAACTATATATCATTTTAAACAACAAATCCTGCATTTTTATTCCATATGAAAAAGTCTAGAAAATCATGGTATCACAATGAATAATTGTGACATAAACGCCGATGTCATAATTTGAAAAATTTTCAAAATGGACTTAACTTATCAACATATTTGCTAAATTGTAAAGCTGCTTTTTCAATAGATGTCGCCAATATTCATTCAGAAGTTGATGAAGGAAATATTCCAAAAGAATGGAAGCTTTTTAGGATGCTTATCAGAAGGCTAGTAACAAGGTTAAAGGACAGGGACACGGGCAATATGCGATAAATGACACGGTACTCCAGAAAGCCTAAGGACTTCAATAACCAAACATTTAATTGGTGACATGGAGACTTTGATAGTTTAGCAAACTCCTGCGAAAAGTGTCAGATAGATGTTTTCAGACATTCATGCTGGCAATATCAGCATTTCCAGCATATATTGAAATTTGATATAAAGTTATCAGCGTACAGATTTTCAATATCGCAATACCCCAAGGAAAAAAGAATTTGTCCTCTGCATTCGCCAATCTCAGTCTCTGGGCCCTTTTCTGTAGGGGTTCTCTAGGAACAGGGTCTACAGATACCGAATGAGCTCAGAGAGAACACACAACTTCAAATGAGGAGTGTCTAAGCAAAAATGTGTGACAAGGTTATACAAATTTCGAGCAGCAACATTCATTTGTAGTTGAAATAGTCGAGTTCATTAAAAACATGTAATGTGGGCTTTTGACGTTGTGAAATACAACGTAACAAAAATTGACGTAATTTAGAAATTTCACTAATTTTCATTAATGTTTGAGATTTTGTCCAATGTGTAATAGTTTAGTTGGTAATTGTACATAATGAATCTTACAGATACATGCATCAAGTTGACAAAAACGCTTGTCTTTATCTTTTTCTTGTGTTTGTGAAATTGATGATTCAAAATGTAACATATATTATGAAACACCCTGTATGTATTACAAAAAAATCTCAGAAACTTCTGGGAACACTGAAAGATTTTTTGTATGAATTAAAGGGGTTGAAAATAAGTTATTTAATTAATTGAGCATTGAATCATTTTTTTAAAGATGTTGTCTGATAACTGCAATGGTGTCTGCAAACAAATTGAGTAACGCGCGTTAACACGTAGCACGTTATGATTTTTTTTTTCACACACTGTTGCAGTTATGAGACTATATCTTTCAAAAAATAACAATTCAATGCTTATATTTACATTTTTAACTCCTTGTCTTGTCTGCAAATGAAATTTATATTTCAAAATCCCTGTATTATTTCCTCGGTTAAGTTACAATAAATGGAAGAGCCAATGCAACAGCTTCTGTTTAATGTGAACGTGGATTTTGATTTTCGCTTATGACCTTACACTTGCAGGATGTTGAACGTTTGTGACGTCAAAATAAAACGCATACTTTAACCTTTTGACCCCCTGTCCGTGTTATGGTGTTTTGAATGCCGTAGCTATCCACACATTTTATAAGCAAAATACTTGTGAAATGTAAAACCAACACCAACCCTTTTTAATAGTTAAGATAAATGCTTTTAAAAACACTTTCTTCCTATTCTCTTTTGCTTTAATTACAGTAGAATAACTCTACAAATATAAATGTGATTGAAAATTTGCTTTTGCTTTTTTTTTCTTCCCATATTCTCAGTTGTTATTTAAGAAATAAATAACAAGTTTAAAAATTTCAATGGGAATTGAAGTGGGTCGGTCACGTGATCAAATCCTGTGAAGGCCGAAGGCCTTCTCAGAAGATTTGATCACGTACCGACCCACTTCAATTCCCATTGAAATTTTTAAACTTGTTATTTATTACTTATATATACATTTGAGACGGACAATAGAATGTAATCGAATATAAATTGCACTAACTGTACGTCGTAGATTTTGACAAATTACGCTAGGTGTAAATCGGCTTGAAAAGCGGTTACGCTTCAAATTCATCAGGCAAAGGATTCTGTTTTGAAGGGAATATTCTGTGAAAGGCTACTTGTGATCAATTGTAGTGAGCATATTGGTCTCTGGGAATTTTTGTATTCATGAGAACCCATATTCGATGTTAAAAAACACAAGAAACACGTCCGATGTTTGATGATAAAAAGTTGGAGGAATTTCGGTCGGAAAGGGATGGATGGAGACACTTGTCCGGACCAGATAACTTGAAATCAAGTACAAAATTTGATCAAAAACATAAAATCTACGATTTCAGTAAGGCATATTTATTAATTTATGATGTTGACGTGGAGACACTGGCGACAGCTTACATTGTTAAGACAACGTCACAACGATCTCGATGATGGAGGTGTGCCTACCGAACTTCCAAAGTGCAGTGTTTGTCAGCTGTTTGTGGCGTGATTGCATTACATTGATATTTTTCAACAGATTTTCAAATTTATTGTGAGTAAAGTTTAATGAAAAAAAATTATAGCATTCAGAGGTCTGCGAGAAAAATAAGGTAAACGTTGAGATATGCAGCTCAGACATGGAACTTATAACATGTAGTTTTCTATTCTCTATGTAAAACCGATCAAAAACTGTATTAAATACTCGTTTACATTGTAAATAAAATGATTATTATTTTACTTGCGTATTTTGTACATTTTTATGCATGAAAAACATGCTATATTGCTTAGTGGAGTAAGTCTTTTTATGTAGATATTACTGCGCTGTGTGATTAGGTCACGTAATGACCTATGACCTTCGAAAAACTTCATACAGGTATGAAGATATTAGCTCTCTGCATGTTTATATAATAGAGAGATACCACAAATGTATATATTAAAAAATAATGTATCATTTTTGAACATCTATCGGGATATAAGTACGGGTTGGTCACGAGATCAAATTCCATAAATCCCGAAGGGCTTTATGGTAAATTTGATCTCGTACCAACCCGTATTTATATCCCGATAGATGTTCAAAAATGATACATTATTACTTATATTTACATTTATGACTTATTCTTATCTTATTATTTCCTGATTACAATCTTTAACGCGTGAAATGTTTCATTTTTTCAAACCCAACGGCACGTATTTGAACCATTGATTGCGCGTCTACCCTTTATGACGTCACTGAGAAATTACGTCGACTGTTTATGACGCGAGGAACCCGTGTTTATACGGATATAGATACGCGTTGCTTTTAATAGTGTTACATAAAAGGAAACATTTGCAAATGTAACTATAAAGTTTTAAACAGAGCTTCATAAAACTTTATTTGAATTCTATAACGATACAGCATCTCCACATGCCTTTAAAGTGCCAACCTACATTAAGGTCCTGTTTGATATTAACAAACCCTTAAAAAACAACTAATCAAAATGATTTAAAAATGGGATCAACATCTTCTTTCTTTTATAAATATAACGATCTTTAGGTTTCATTTTGCCTACATCCTTTTTACAGATTTTACATACATACTTGGATGGATTTGAATATTTGTTAGGCCTTAGTACTCTTGTCCGTTACGCAAGACTACCATTGACAGTACATATACACCAAAACAAGCTTAGGATATACCCACTTCACGTATTCACTTAAACGTCAGAAAGGGCAATAGCTATCATTTTAAGTCTCATCCTTGAAGGATAAAGATGTGTAGTTCTATCAGGTAATAACCAGAAATTGCGGAATAATGTTTCCTTAACATACTGAGTGATATAAGATGTAAAATTTTGAATTAATATACTCTAGATATTGAAGTCTTTTCTAGTGCAACAATAACAATATGAAACATTGAATTTTAACTGATTTTATTTTGATTAAAAGTGTAATGAAATTACATTGAAATACTTAAAATATTTGGGGGGAGGGGGGTAATGAAGTTGAATGAGATTAAAAAAAAATCAGTGGATACAATTAACTAAAATTTTCATAATTTGTTCTCTGGAAAAAACGCGACAAAAAGATGGAGTTGACATTTTTATTTTTTATACTGTATAACATTCCAAGTATTGATGTTCTCCTGTTATTAACATGTTTGATAAATTATCACCTAGAATGCAGTCGGTAGCTGTTTGCCTGAGTTTCTTCTCGGTAGTTGTTTATGGGTACCCGACAGGGGCTCCTGCGGGTGTATGTCAGACTATGGTCCCTGGTCACGGTGCTGCCGTGCAAACCGGGCCTTCGCCTTACAGAGTAACTATGAACACCACAAGTTATACAGCTGGGGATCGCATCATGGGTATGTAATATAAAATGTATTCTGGCGTTATTTTATTTTTATTGGAGACTGTTGAATTTATCGTGATCTTTCTCCGGGATACGTCGTCTTACAATTTTTGATTAATTCACTTGGCTAAAACAAATATCAAACAAGAAAATAAAATAAAATCATTTTCATTTGAATTATTGATGAAAGATTAAAAATGCAAAGAACTAAATTTTCTACAATAATTATAAGATATTTCTTTTCAAAGTAACTGTATCTGGGGGAACCTTCAGAGGATTGCTTGTCGAGGCTCGTCCTGCAAACTGTTCTACGGTTACTTTCCCGACATTTTCTCTGATGGTCAGTGAATCAAACCTCCAGACCCTCGCCTGTAATGGTGTGCCAAATGTAAGTATATCATCAACATCATCATCACTGGAAAACTATCGACATAACTATAGACCTATATTGTACTAAATGTAAATGGACATGCAGGATTCGTGGACTTCTCTTTCCATTTTTTAAAATTTTATCTGAGGTATTCATTACTTTTTTTTTCCAATTTTCTGTCTGAAGTTTTTTTTTCCCAACTGCTGTTGCCTTACAAGCAAATTTTTAAATCATGCAATCTTAAAGTAAAATGTTACGAATACTTGAATTCAAAAAATGGAAACTATGGATTGCCAACATAAAAAATAATTTAATTTCGAGGATATCATATTTTTTAAGCACTTAAGGCATACTTTCTCTATATTTATAAGTTGTTATGTGTTTGATCAAAAGTGAAAAATAATATTTCTTGTCGATTAGTTAACATCTTACTGAAGTGTGTTTATTTCCTGGAGATGTTGCCTTTAGTCATTTTTACTTAGGGACCGGAACTGTGTTACATGCACTTTTGATTATTATATTTGACCCCTTTTGTTACCTTGCCATGTTTTATATATATATATATATATATATATATATATATATATATATATATATATATATATATATATATATATATATATATATATATAAATGTATATAAGATGATGATTTGAATGAAACAAACATATGATATTGTTAGTAAATTATGCATCTTTGTTGTATTGAAGGCTTGCAAATGAAACCGAATTAATTATATAATTGATGAAGTATTTTACATATAAATATGTGTCTTTGATTTTTAGAGTGCTATCACACATACTAACAGGAATGACAAAACTGAGGCAAATTTTTACTGGACTCCCTCTTCTAGTCTTGGCCACGTATACTTCCGGTTAGCTAATTGTACTTTAAAAATTCAAATAATCTTATTTTGTATTTTTTGGAGTCGTTGCATGCCTTGGACTTCATTTTATTTTGTTTTATTAACAATTTCGTGGAAAAATATAATCTGCTTTTTTTTTGGTCTATTTAAGTGCTACAGTAGTACAAGTGTTTAACACGTACTGGGTTGGTATTCAGTCTCCCGTTCTGCGTGACAATAATTCTACTGACCCCGTCCCTGATCCTATTTGTCAGATTGGTAAGAGACATTTAATCAAATTTGATAACTTATTTAGGGCTGAACAAAAATTATTCCCTTTGCTATTACTGCTGTAAATATCATTTGAGTCATCTCCGTCAATGGAAGATGGCTAACCGTTAACAAATTTAATTTTGTATAAACTGACAATAAATGTTCTTTAGAAATGTATCTTTGTAGAGATTAATATTTTGAATAACTTGATTTCAATGCATACTTATCCTAATCTCTGTTACAAATAGATACTACTGCAGCATCTACTACCTTATCAACAACTACTACTACTCACTCAGTTACTACTAGTCAGACAGGAGGGAGTGGAGGAAATTCGGGCAACAACGCAGGGGCGGATCTAAAGTTAGCTGTGTCGCCTTTAATTATCATGCTTGTGGCATTATTCCTAATAATATAGAGTTCTCTTTTTGTATATTATGCTATTTATTCAAATTCATGAAAAGAAAAAATGTTATTAAACATCCAGCTATAAAAACTCCTAGACAACCAAGCTATGAAACAAATTTTAAATAAAAGTGACTTTGAAAGTGGCATTTTATTTGACATTATTGATATTGCTCTTGAAATGCAGAAATAAAACAAAAACAATTACATCCTTGGCTTTATTAGTTTTCCTTAATGACGTCTGTGTATAAACACAGAATAAAGAAAGCGACAATAAACTTTAATCGAAAATCTAACAAGCAAACATATACTAAGTTTAAAGCATTCAGATTGAAGATTTATCAACAGAATTCTTGGCAGAAAAAAGGAACTTGACTTGACGTTTAATTCATCAAGGTTCTGAGTAGTGTACTGTCAATGATTAAAATGAATAATACTTCAAACTATATATACAACAGTTTATTTATACCCTAGGTAACCCAATGGAAAAGAAAATATCTTAAATTTGTTTTGAAGTGAGTTTAATGCATTACCAGATTATTTAGATTCATTGCAATTGATATAATTCATAAAGAAATATTGACTTTGTGGTACAATCTTAAAAGAAAATCGTAGAAGGAGCGAAATATGACCAGAATTATTTACTTTGAAATTGGATTGCTGGATTAACTGTCGCCTTGGGATAAATTGAAAATTAGAGTACTTGATCTTGTGCAGATATTTGATCATTTCAGCTTATCTGGTATTTGGTACGATACTTTGATCAATTTACTTTGATTAGAACTAGGGCAATTTTTTTGATTCATTGATTTATTCTGTCAAAATACAAGGTACATTTAAATGGTACAAGAGATACTTTAGAATACAGGATCAATACATGTCATCAAAATAATAATAATATGATAATATATCCATGTATCATACATAATATGATAAATTTTTAACATGATATAACATGTAAATTATACATGTTGTGAAATCTCTGAAAAGAGGAAATAAAGATGGAATAATGAAACTCATCCCAATCTTATTATTATTATTACACAAATAATGCCATTTTTTAATTTCTTGAACAATATTGTATCTACCAACTCTATTGGAAGACAGTTGTCATTTGTTTTCAATTTCGCGAAAAAAAAAAAACAAAACAAAACAAAAAACCCAAAACATTTATATGTTATAACCTTAACTAGAGATATTTATATATTACCATTTTTACATAATCTGATCTTTGAACTTTCGGTTATTGTTTTAACAATCCACACCATGAAAACTTTTACAATTTCAATTAAACATTTCTTAAGTGTTTAGAATAAGATGTATACAAGAGATCCATGGAACACTGCCCTTTTGGTATATACATGTATATTGTAAAAAAGAAAAGGTAATAGACCTGCCCCCTTGTCTAACCCCAACAATCCAATTAAAAGATTCAGGTGACACACTTTCACATTGATTCTTGATTTTATATCCGCATACATAATTCCTAATGAAAGGATACATTTCCCATCGATACTACATGTAAAAATGATTTGTACTAGAGATAATCTCTACAAACCATATCAAAAGCTTGTTTACAATCAATGTAGACATAATTAATAGAACTTCTTTTTGAATAAATTTTTAATCGATTTCTCAAAATACAGTTTAGAGTTTTCCAGTGCAGCTCAATAAAGTTATAGGACGATAGTTCTAGGGTTGTTGGTTTACCTGTAGTTTTATATATTGGTTTTACAAAATCTATAATCCATTCTAATCCTTTCCGGTACTATTTCACAGTGACATATCTAATTGGCTTGCAGAAGCAACAAATTTAATCTTGTTTGGTGAATGTTTTTACAGTACTTGGCCCTCCTACACAATTAATAGATGGTGGATTAGCTTTTGATTATGGCTTAGTGTCTAATCGGAAACATATTTGAGTTGCTAGTAACATTTTATACATGTATGTTTATTTAATACTGCATAAAAATAGTCCTGAATAGTTCATCATTCAAAAATGCTTCCTCCAATATTTAATATTTTGAAACTTCCTAAGAGTTTCACAAGGAAAAGACAATATTTTTTGCTTTATTCTTAAAGGCCTTTCAAATGTCCTGCTTTAATAAAGCATCCCCTCGGAAATAATTTGTTTTAAAATGGGATCATCACCATCTCTCCTTTATAAAAGTAACAATTTTTATTATTTTTTTGTCTACATCCTTATTTTTAGCTTTTATGTGCGTACATGTATTGATGCCTGATGCATTTGATTTTATGTTAGGCGTAAGTGATCTGTCCTTTACGCATGACCAACGTCACAAAGTACATGTACACTAAAAGAAGCTTAGGATATACCTACTTTACATATAAACTTTGAAATTTGCAGAAGTTGTCATTTTCCAGTCTATCCTTGAAGGGTAAAGATGTTTAGTACTATAAGGTAATTTTGTAATATCTTACTTGCAAATAAAATAAAAATTATGTAATTAAATACTTTGTTTTATTTTCTAGTCGGTAATGTAAGACGCAAAGATTAAAAAAAATAGCTGTTAAATTTTCTAAATTATCTTCTAATGTAACATAAAAAACCCATTAAAATTTGTGTGTTTTATTTAAAACTTTAATAAAAGATAAAATATTTTTACCGTTTTATATTTATCTAAATTGTATTGTATTAAATTGAGTTATTTAATAATGGAATGAAACACAGCAAATTAAACTTATAAACCATTATATCGAGTTGATATTAAAGACATAATACAGACAATACTTTGTAGTGTATACGATAATGATATTCTATTATCAACATATTTGTCACATTATCGCCTAGAATGCAGTCGGTGATTCTTTGCCTGAGCTTCTTCGTTGTTGTTGTCTATGGATACCCGAATGGGGCTCGTGTAGGCGCTTGTGAAACTATGACTCCTGGTCATGGTGCTGCCGTGCAAACGGGGCCCTCACCATACCGAGTGACCATGAACGCTCAGAGTTACACAGCTGGTAACCGCATCACAGGTGTGTACATAATTTTTTAAAATTCATTTTCCCCCTTAAACTTTTGGACATTGTTTGCTTATTTCCCCCAAATGATGTCATACATGAAGATATCAGGCCCGTAGGAAGAAATTTTTCTCCCTGTGTGTGTATGGGGGGGGGGGGGGATTCTGTGAAAAGTAAAACAATTAAAAGAAAGTACATGGAAGTTAACGGTATTTTTTTTTACTGTATATTATGTACTGGTCAAGTGATTAAGGGGACAGACTATCCCCGGTATAATATACTTGTAATATAGCTTTATTTTCTAATTAAATGTATATAAATGTATTTTGCAAAATTATTGGGGCACCCCCGTCCCCTTCCTACGTGCCTAGATATATTGGGATACTCCTATATATATTTAAAAATTAATTTAGTGATTGATATTTTATTTTCAAAGTAACGGTATCTGGCGGGACTTTCAGAGGAGTGCTGGTCCAAGCTCGTCCTGCTAACTGCTCGACAGTTACTTTCCCGACATTTTCTCTGATGGCCAATGAATCAAACTTCCAGACTCTTGCCTGTAATGGTGTAGCAAATGTAAGTATTTTTTCAACATCGTCGTCATCATCGCCATCATAGCGAGGTTATGATATTTTACATTAATCTGCAATTTTTACAGATGTCTCGGCTTTTTGGTTGGTTCTCAATAGTTAATCTTCTTTGTCCTTTTCCCATGTGAGATATATTTATTTCTCTCTTTTTATTTCCGAAAGTTGATTAAGATTACATTATCAAAATCGGTAACAAAGTAAGAAATACAGGTATCCATTGTGTATGTTGAAGATTATAAGTGTTTTAATCTAGTTTTAAAACGACTGCAAAAATTTATCTTTCGAAATTTAGTGCTAATTCTTCTACTGAATTAGTTAAAATTATCCTTCTTTCGCACCTATGTGTTGAGACGGGGCAGCAATACAACTTAGTTAATGGGAGAGGTACTAAAATTAGTTTTTCGGATATGCATGAAATACACTGTTTCAAAAATTAACTGAAAAAGTCCTCCATGGTTATATTTTCGGTATTGATAAAAATTCAATGATGCAAAATCGATTTTCGGTCATGCAAAACTGCAGATATTTAGACTTCCATGGTCCACAACTTTGAAACACTGCACTATATCTGTGTATTTGCAAAGTGGACTTCGGTGTAGGCCAAATAGCTCTGTGTAAAAAAATTAAAATTATAAGAAATTGCATGAAATATAGCTTGAATCAACATGTGGTATTGTCTTTACAAATAGTTTATGGCTGGAAAAAAATCATATTTTTAAGTGTATCCGTTGGGTAATTTGTTGACCACCCAGTCTTAAAACATTAAACAAAATATTTGCTTAGAGTACGGTATATATATATACATATATATATATATATATATATATATATATATATATATATATATATATATATATATTTATATATATATATATATATATGATATTTTATATGCATTGCACAAAGGGATATTTTTTTTATAAATGCATAGTAACTCATATGAGTTGTATAAGTTTAAGGTAAGTAAGATTATTTATGCTCCATAGATTCTTAAACCCTGACAAATCTGTTTCTTTAAACAATAAATTGGTTAACAAAGAAAGATATTTTATTGTTTATATTTATATCTATCAAATAATCATATAAGTATGTTAAAGTACGTTAAATATTGTATTTTTGATATGTACGTCACAAATGTACCATTCATTGATGGAAGAGCCACTGTTCAACAAATCTATATAGGTGGCTTGCTTAGCGGCTTTAAGGTATTGATAGATCACCGTGGTTTTCAGAAGAAATAAAGGAGATAATATTCAGTAGATGTAAATATATTTCTATTCTTTGCTCAGTATGGAACAGTTTTGATAATGTCGACTATTCATAGATTTTACAAGTAGTATATGGTGATCGTATACAGTGTAATCATAATGATTTTATCATCCTCTGAAGGATACACGTACATCTTTGTTTAAGTAATTGCTAAATCAAGCACATTTAGATTGTTTTCTCGTTTTCGAGACGAAGCAAAGCTTCCATACTCTTAATATTCGATAAAAATAAATTGAACTTCACTTCAAACATACATTTCGAATATCCAAACACTTAAATGACTGAATCAGAGTGACAAATCAGTATTATTCATAATATCCCGGGATATGAAACGGTGTCCTGTAATTCTTCAATGAGTTACTTTCCCGGTGATGTTACCTTTAGTCATTTTTACCGGATATGTTTATTGTACTTTCTATCATATCAATTGACCTATTTGATATAAACCATAGGGGCTTCTCTCCCTCATTGCTAAAGGTAAAATAAATTTATAAAATTGAATCTACTTTGAATACAATAAAGCTGCTTCAATAAGGAACCTAAAACTTTCAGGCAAGAAATACCATGTTGAAAAGAAAATACGTACCACACCTATATACGCTTTTTTCTAAACACGGTACTAGTATTTCTATAGTTTGACATGCCTTTTATAAAATTGTACACTGGACATAAAAGTTGCTTCAATAAAGAACCTAAAACTTTCAGGCAAGAAATACCATGTTGAAAAAAAATACGTACCACACCTATATACGCTTTCTTTTAAAACACGGTATTTCTATTGTTTGACATGCCTTTTATAAAATTGTACACTGGACATACCTTAAGCACAAGTATTCTATGACTCCAGTTTCCATATATATATATATATATACATATATATATATGTGCGATTTTTGCCTATGACACAAAGTTGTACTTAGATGGTTTAGTTGTTTTTACTCGTTTCATTTATATTGTTTTATATTTCTTAATTTCTAGAGTGCTGTTACACATACCAATAGGAATGACAAAACCCAGGCAATGTTTTACTGGACTCCTGCAGCAAGCCTGGGCCATGTATACTTTCGGTAAGCTTAAGACCACAAAATAGATTTTAAAACTCATAAGTCATTCATGTTCAGTGTACATCGTTCAAACATGAGCGTCAATTTTTGATCGTCTTTTTCCCTTTTTCAGTGCTACAGTAGTACAAAGCTTTAACACATACTGGGTTGGAATTCAGTCTCCTGTTTTGCGTGACAGTAACTCTGCTGACCCGGTTCCAGATTCTGTATGCCCACAGAGCGGAGGCGCGGATCTAAAGTCAGCCTTGTCTTTAATGGTTACCATGCTGGTGGCACTATTTCTTACAATATAATGTTTCTTCTTCCTTTGTGGCAGTGCACAACTAGCTTAAAGGAGGAACGATGCCATTTCTTGATGCTTCATGATTATCTTTAAACTGTACATCCGTACACCATTATTTATGTGTTAAGTACAAATATGTTTTGGAAAAATGCTCTCCAAAGTACAGCGACTCTGAAAGCAACAATCTATATAATATAATTTTATCATTATTAAATTCCATACATTTCCGTACGATTTCCAGATATTTTTATATGTATAGAATTGAAAGCGATTGATTTACATCATTTTTATGTCTATCCAGGAGATGGTAAATCCTGATCCTATGGCTGAACAATGTATATTTCTTTCTTCGATCTTTATCTGTGTTAAACTTTTATAATCTTTCTTATTTGAGAGAGAGAGAGAGAGAGAGAGAGAGAGAGAGAGAATAATGTGCACGCATCGAATGCTGTATAAGAGTTTATAAAGTAAATACTTGTTCGAAAAGTAGTCCTCCGGGTTACAGTGTATAGGGGATGGTCAAAGCTTCATATAAAAATAAACGAGCAAGTAGTATATATTCGACTTATTGTTTTTTACTTGTTTCATGTACGTCCCACTCCCTTCCAGAAAATTTCACTCATGGATATTGGGACATCACAAATAGGCTGCAAACTCAGACCTGTACTCCAGTTTATTGTCATTGGCCCCTCGTTTTTTTCCGAAAATAGCCTATTGTTAATCTTGATAACCGTTAATCTGTAATGGAAGATTCGATAAAAGATCGGTCCACCCCAACCTTTACTTCCTATTGAAGTATGGAACACCCCCCCCCCCCCATTTTACAAGTTTTTGTGAGTGGACTTTTATATTTTTTAAGTTTTAGTCTTCCCGGAAATTTTATTTTTTTGCTAGTCAAGTACATTTTTCTGTCCACTTACCGTTTTGCGTGACAGTAACTCTGCTGACCCGGTTCCAGATTCTGTATGCCCACAAAGCGGAGGGGCGGATCTAAAGTCAGCCTTGTCTTTAATGGTTACCATGCTGGTGGCACTATTTCTTACAATATAATGTTTCTTCTTCCTCTGTGGCAGTGCAAAACTAGGTTGAAGGAGGAACGATGCCATTTCTTGATGCTTTATGATTATATTTGAACTGTACATCCGTACACCATTATTTATGTGTTAAGTACAAATATGTTTTGGAAAAATGCTCTCCAAAGTACAGCGACTCTGAAAGCAACAATTTAGATAATATATTTTTATCATTATTAAGATATCCATACATTTCCGTACGACTTCCAGATATTTTTATTTGTATAGAATTGAAAGCGATTGATTCATATCATTTTTATGTCTATCCAGGAGATGGTAAATCCTGATCCTATGTCTGAACAATGTATATTTCTTTCTTCGATCTTTATCTGTGTTAAACTTTTATAATCTTTCTTATTTGAGAGAGAGAGAGAGAGAGAGAGAGAGAGAGAGAGAGAGAGAGAGATGTGCACGCATCGAATGCAGTATAAGAGTTTATAAAGTAAATACCTGTTCGAAAAGTAGTCCTCCGAGTTACAGTGTACAGGGGATGGTCAAAGCTTCATATAAAAATAAACGAGCAAGTAGTATATATTCGACTTATTGTTTTTTTACTTGTTTCATGTACGTCCCACTCCCTTCCAGAAAATTTCACTCATGGATATTGGGACATCACAAATAGGCTGCAAACTCAGACCTGTACTCCAGTTTATTGTCATTGGCCCCTCGTTTTTTTCCGAAAATAGCCTATTGTTAATCTTGATAACCGTAAATCTGTAATGGAAGATTCGATAAAAGATCGGTCCACCCCAACCTTTACTTCCTGTTGAAGTATGGACACCCCCCCCCCCCTCATTTTACAGGTTTTTGTGAGGGGACACTTTTACATTTTTTATGTCAAAGTCTTTCCGGAAATTTTATTTTTTTGCTAGTCAAGTACATTTTTCTGTCCACTTACCTTATAAAAAAATATTTTTTTCTCCTCTTCCCCAATTTGAAAAAAAGATGTAAAACACCTGCATTAAACATAAGAAAAGATACTCGAAATTTTCTAGTGCAAAATTCAGGTGCTCCTTGATGAGATGGAAAAAAAATAGATATCATCTTCTGTAAATTATCGAACATTCTAACTTATGTTGCAAAGAAGAAATTATCCGACATTTCAAGGGCCATTTCAATATCAGCATGACCACGATTTTTGTAAATTTGACCCTTGTTACTTTACTGTAGATTAAAATGGTTAATAGTACGCACGCCGTAGCTTTCATCAGATCATTGTTACAAAGCCTTATGTATGTATCAAAAATGCAACTGAAAGTTTTAAATTCAATAGCACGAGTCTTTGTTTAATAAAATCTAAACCCAGAAACGACCCCTTTGCTTTTTTCAGATTTTTTAAAACGATAACCTGCAAAATCCAAAGTTTCTATGTCAAGTGAATTGTTTTGCTTCTTGTCACCATTTATTAAAGGCACAATTTTTTTTTTTGGGGGGGGGTCTACAATTTTGAAGGGCCAGGCATATACAGCCAAAAACAAATTAATAATACGGCCATCTTTTTAAAAAAAATTGTTTGTTTGCCCTCTCCTGACTGACTGGCTAAAAATGACCCTACTCAAAAGCTTTTTTAACGTCCAGGATATGTTTTTTTAATTCTTTCCGGAATTTTCTGATGCCGTCAACAACTACTTTTATTGTATTTATACCTTCAGTTTAAACAGATTTTAAAAATTTAGCATTAATGCTGAAAATTTCTGAGGAAAAACATCTTCCCACTTTCATACCGACCCAACTTTTTTATCCTGAGTCGAGAGTGGGCAAACCAACATTATTTTGAAGGTGACCAAATGCATTGAAGGAATTAGAAAGCTGTTATCGTTTCAGCTGACAAAGCTTGTAACAATATACTAGTAGTCTTTTCTTGTATGGTAGGTTATTACAACTGCCTTACAAAGAACTTAGCTTTATTTTCACATTAGGTAATCCAACTTATGCTTACCGTTCCCTTCCAGAGAATGAAATTCTTCAGAATCACGTGTCAGTTTACTTTTAATATTCCAGTCAATGGAAGTGAATTGTATTTACCACACCTACTTATATATTGGATTCTAAAACTTCAAAAAAAAAAAAAAAAAAATAAATAAATAAATAAATAAATAAAAACAAAAATAAATAAATTGGAAATTGTAAATTTGCCACCAAACTGTGCACCACAATATATTCAACAAGTGGTGTAAATCAAATGTGATTCTCAAAAACTTAATAAAGGAAAATTTAAAATCACAAAAATTTTCGAAAATCAATAGCATTAAAAGATTTGACATTACAACGCTTTATACAACAATTCTTTAAGAAATAAATACCAGGCTTGTTGACATTATAGAAAACTGCTTCTTCAATAAAAATGGAACTAAAAAGGTGAAAGGAATTTTTCATTGACAATATCTATGTAGTTTTTTTGAGACCAGGACTTCCAACAATCTAGCTGTTGGATTTTTGATTGGCGCTTTTTTTTCAAATATCTCTACTCGAGTGGAGGAAAACTCTTGCTGTGGTTTCTAATTCAACATTTCGATACATAAACAACCTTTTGTTTTTTTTATTACATTTTCTTTTATTCATATGTTACATGTAACTTAATATTTCCAAGTAAAGTGAAAATTAAAAAAAACAAAACTACATCTGTTTCATACTTAGATGTTTTACTGACTATTAACGTTAATGGCCTACTAATAACTAAACTGTATGACAAACAAGATGAAATACCACTCTTTTTCAAATTTGTCTATGTGAAAAATTTTCATAACTATACATTTTTCGATATTATATTTCAATTTAATATGACTTAATAGCCCCAAAAGATGAAATTTATCTTGCATTAAACATGTGAAAAGATATACTGTTTTATATATAATATTGTATTTTTTTTTTAAACTTTGTTGTATGTCATCGGTATAGTTCGCCTAAAATAATATTTTTAACATTAAAACCAACCCTTTTGTTAATTGCTTTGTAAACTGAGGTTAGTCCACAAAGATGTATCTTTTTCACAACCAATGAAAACATGTTGAATAGTTTAGAAATACTTCTTGTTTACAAACAGTACAAGTCCGAATTTTTAATCTTATTTTTTTCAAATAAGAGTCAACGGGTAGAATCCTATGTAAAATTCTATATTTTAACACTAAATTGCAGAGTCCTTTTTTGTTTTGAAACAAACTTAAAAAAAACTTTTACACAAAAATTTCATTGATACAATATGAAGATAACTCCACATTCCACCTAAATAAAAATTTTAAAACTGTTTACTTTGTATTTAAACAATTTTAAAAATATTTTGTACATTTTTCATAACAATATGTTTTGGAAATAAACAGGTAAAAAAGTCCATACGTTCTTTTCACAGAAAATTTATCTATTGAAATATTCTTTATGTACTTTGAAATTGAACAAACAGCACGGTTATGTTGCATAATACATACAGTAGAAATAGTAAATCTTTGTTAAAAAGTGTTTGTTTGTTTGTTTGTTTTTATTTTTTGAGTGAGAAAAGAGTCCCTTTCATCTAAAAGAAAAAAAATCGCCAATAGTTTTAACACGATTTTTGTACCAATCTTATGAAAATGCTTTTGTTATTAACTTTTGTTATAGAGTTATACTACGTTTGTATATTAAAAAAATCGTTTTTTAGATTGCAAAAGTATTTTGTGGGTTTTTCTCCTTCCTCCAACCCATCTTGCTCTAGATCTTAAAACATGTCCATGTAGTTTTTCCTTTCTTATATTTTCAAGAGCTGACTTCTTCTGTTCTAACAGGTCCACTTCAAATATCATTATTATTTTCTAAACTTTCTATTTCTTCTTTCAAAACTTTCTCTCTCCCACTTTTTTGTAGGAGGAACAAGAAATTGTAATCCCACTAATTTCCATCAAAGGAACTCAAGAAACATACTATCATAAATATTTTCAGGGTATTGAAGAACATCATTGTCCTCACCCTGCAAATATTTTCTTCGCACATCTTTTTTGCATGGTTTCTTTAACCTCGATGATAAACGTTTTATCTAATAATAGACTATTGATAAATTCCCTCTTTCAAAAAAAAAAAAAAAAAAAAAAAAAAAAAAAAAATTAAATTTCACTTCTAAAACAACTGTTAAATGGTCTGACCTACATCCAAATAGTAAATTTTTCAACTAAGTTTAATTTTTCAAATAAGAATATAATCAAGGCGTCCTGCTTTAGATGATTTTTTTCTTCTCCTTCAAGTGTATACCTTTTATTTATTAGGATTTAAAATTCTGTAATAATCTACCATCTGTAAATGATCCATTATTTCCATATGTTTTTCTCTTGCATTTGGATTGTTTACATTCATATAATTTTGTGTATCAATTGATGTGTTTAAAACATAAAGATGAAAATCACCACATAAAATATAGTAATCATTATCACATTCTGAGAAAAGATCTCTTACTTTTTCATAAAATTCGGGGCTGCAACATTTTGGCCATGGATATTTACAGACCAAATATCTTTACTTATAAGCAAATATATATTTTTGTATAATTAAAGAGAAGACTAGTAAGAGAATTTATGTCTCATTCTTTTGACTTTATCAATAAAATACGTTCAATTCAATATACTCTTTTAAGAAAGCTCGAGAATAAAAATTTAAAGAAATGTTGAGGAAAATCTAGCAGAGACTATTCTTTAATTAGCTCTAAGTTCAGAGCCTGATATGAAGAAAATGCTAAACCATAGAGATTATGGATACAAACCATCACCATTACAGAAGCACATGTTACAGGAGAGAAGTATCAAAGGAACATGCCTGAAACCCATGCAAAGCAAATTAGCCAGATTTCGGCACAAATAATTCATATTGATGCGCACATTAATTAAATTGATGAAAGCCATAAATGATTTTCAATGCAGCTTGCATCAAGAGCAATATAACTAAGTATTGTTCTTGTCGACTGCATTGATGTGCGCATCTATTCAATTGTTGAGCTTAACAATGTGAAATTATTGTACGCAAATATTTATTTAATTTTTGACTTCAGTGTAATAATTTAATTGAAGACACCTTTTATTATTTTACAGTAATTTTGCTAGAGGATCCGAAATTTTTGTGTACATCACTTTTTCTTAGCAGAGCAATAATTATTAAATTAAGGTTTATTGGATTAAATATATTTTTACGACATATACATGTGCGTATTGATATATGTGTAGCGGCTTAGAGCAAAATTTCACCCAAATATTTTATTAGTGGAGTCAAGCATGAAATTTGGCACAATTATCTGTCAGATAATACTGTTTCTAAAATCGTTGGCCATCGCAATTTCCGCCATTTTCAAGATGGTTGCCGCTAAAACAAAATGGCGACATTTTTACACTTCTTGGTCTTACAAACGGTCGATTGTAATACTTACCTTACTTTGGCCGTTTTGTGATATATTTTGGTTATAACTAAGCTTTGTTAAAGACATCTTAAACAACACATTGTAAAACAAAAGCTGAATAACGTTTCATAAAGCAATTCAATTTCGCAATACATGTCTATTGTTTCTATAT